TCTGTTATGCAGAAACATGTCCATCCTTGTTGCCACTGTTAAACATCATACTGCTCAACAATACTTGATCATGGTTTGGGATGCCACTGCCATGGACAGCCAGTCGCCTTCAGTTCTTTATCATATAAAAGGCACGATGATGGCTTTAGAATACCAGAGTGAGGTGTTATAGCCAATTGTACTACCCTACCTTCAACAATTCCAGTATGCTATTTCCCAGCACAAAAGCATCTGATAACATACAAAAATCTCAGCAGACAAGTCCTAGGTACTCAGATGTTTCTTTGGCCACTAAGGTCTCCAGATCTCACACTGATAGAGTATTGGTGAGACATGACAGCACATCATCTGCTTGATCTGCTGCAGCCTTAATCAGAAGCTAAACTGTAGTGGATGGTTGAAACAATGCAGTCATCCACATTTCAAGACACTTTATACATACTGATTTCATCTGTACCTCAAATTTAATCGCTGTAATACATTACAATTTTAAAATTAAAATCATGGTTATTTCCGATTATCTGCAATCCATTGAAAAGTGCATGAGGCAATGCATTATATATAGCCAAAACAGACAATATGTAGTGTCACCAGTGTCAAAACCTTGGTTAATTCTATGCCATAAAGTGTTTCACACATTTGAATCATCATAATTTATTTGCCTTTGCAATAAGCAGGCAATTTCAGTAAATATTTCAAAAAATTTTTTTATTAACTTTCATGTTTTTAAGAGCATTTTTTACTAGGAGGAAATAACAGATTTTTAACTCTCCGAGTCCTCCTTTTCTTTAATTTCCATTGCCTTACATTAATATTCACTACGAACAATACTTAAATGTGAAAGCAATTTATCCAAGCCTTTCAATCAATATATATCCATCTACTGCAGCATACATAACAATTAATTTACTGATAAGGAATTTACATAACTCGCCAGACAAAAAATTAGTCCACCCTAGGGAAATCACATTAATATCATGTGCCCCCTGTCCCTGATAATCACCTGGGATAATAGGAAAGGAGTTTAGACAGTTCTGTATGTACATCAGATCCTGTACACCACTTGCTGATGATTTAATCACATAAACCTGATGCATTAAAGGGTTACCAAGTGTGGCATTTCATTACCTGTTCCTAAAAGTCCCACAAATTTTCAGCAGTTTAATAACAAGAAATTTAATGGGAAAATCCATGTGCGGAAAGGTTTGTGAATGTTCATCATGCCAGTCATATACGAGGGCAATCCCCCCCAAAAAAAGGTCTCCTATTTTTGGGGGGCGTAGAGAAAGTTTTAATACGGTTGTTGGCAACACCGTTGTGAGTGGTGCCTTCTCCACTACCACATAAGCACGCAGGCGCTTTGCTCGGATGCTCAGTCTTGGCTTGGCAGCCATTCGAAATGGAGCTCCCAATAAACGTTCCCGCTAAGTGCGAAGTGTGCGCAGTTATTCGATTTTTGAACGCAAAAGGGCGTTAAACCGGTTGAAATTCACCGCCTATTGATGGAAGTGTATGGACAGTCAGTCGTGCATGGATGTCAAAAACGTTCGCAAGTGGTGTAGAGAGTTTACAGTCAATCGTACTGAAATTCATGACGAAGAAAGGAGTAGGAGGCCGTCAATTGCCGACGAGACAATCGCGAAAGTTGAGGAACTCATGCGTAAAGATCGGAGGATCACTATGGATGCTCCTGAAGCTCCTCAACGCTTCCGGAAGGGCATGGCAGCAAGCTGGTATGACATGGGCATTGTAAAACTGCCACAGCGTCTACAAAAATGCATCGACCGAAATGGTGATTATGTTGAAAAATAAAGCATTCTTCAATCTTTTAAAGTGATGTAGCAGTTATAGAAAATAAACGGTTCTTTGTATATCTAAAAATATAGGAGACCTTTTTTTTCGGATTCCCCTCATACATGTGCAACTCTATAAACTCTACTGTTATCATCTTGAAAAATGGGAATGTTGACAGCATGCAGTAACACATGACCTTCATGAATGTTTATTGAAACATGCTGATCCATGTGAATGCTTACCTCAACAAGTGGGTACACATAGTACAAAAAAAAACACCTCTAAAACATCGCAAATCCACCACCAACTTGAACTACACATTGGAACATTTGGGATGAAATGGGCTGTCAGTTTATTTCATACTGTGCATCATCAGAAAATGGACAAAATCATGATTTGTTGGACCATATTGCATGTCTCCAGTCATCTATACTATCCAAGCTTGGTGATTTCTGGCCCATTGAAGATATGTATCTTTATGTGCCTGCATAAGCAAGGGTCTCTTGAAGGTACTCCAACTATTCATTGCAAACAATTCCTGTCAAAGTGTCCACTCAAACACACACGGGGATGGCCACTTATTTAAGCCAAGCAATTCATTGATAGTCCCTCTAGCTTGAATTCTTTCTCTGGTTATAGTTTCGACATCATGTTTCACGGCCACAATTATTAAGCCACTCCTTATACACAGATACACTTTACAGTTTGCTTCAAAACATGATGTCACCATGTGGTGATTGGCACAGAGAAACATGATTGTCCCTTTTTGAGACTCAGCTACATCTTTGCATATGCATATTCTCAACTTAACAAAAAATTACAACATTTAGAGTTACATTCTCCCTCATCATCGCTACTTTGTAATCTCAAAGAAGAGTTTTCCATACCAGTGACCATGTGACATGCCTGCTACAATTGTAGCACTTTAATAAAGCATTTGTGTTTCTGCTCAAAGATTACTAATTTTCTGGCTGGTGAATTTATTTTCCTGTTAAGCATGAAAGCTGGCAGACATTCCACCAATAAGTCTTGCAGAATTTTGAAGCAATGAATGGCTGTCTATTCAGTTACATAATCCAAGATAAATATAATGGATACAGAACATTAAAAAAACTTCAACACAAGCTCAAACTTAGAGATATCCGACAAACAAATTCATTAAAAATTGTACCAGTCATTCCAGCAATCAAAAATTTCTAATGACATTTAAAATAACAACAAAATAGCTATCCTCTCTGAAAACTCAGTGCCACATAAATTCACTTTACTATGAATGTAAGTGATGTTATGCAGTTTTTTATTGTGCCCAGAATCTTTCAACGTCCTGAGTATTAGAATCTATCAAATAATATAGTTGATTAATTTTAAAATATTCAAATTTTGCAGCTATAAATTTATTATTTTTGTGGATCTTCCAAACTTGCAACAATTGCAGATAAAAAGAAGCCAATTGAATACTTCCATGTTAGCTTATCAAGACTTAACCAAGGTTATATAAAACCAAAGCAAAAATTTTATGAGTGTGCTGAGACAACACTTTTTTGGCAATAGATTTTGTTTTATCGAAATGATCACTGTAAGTACTGCTGAAAACATTATTATACGTACATTTCTGTTTTCGATAATGCAGTACAAAGTCCAAAATCCGAATGTCCATTATCTGCAATGATCTAAAATCCGGACCTCAATATGACCAACAACATTTTCTCAAAGGCTTTATGCATGCATATTTGATTTCCCCCTCTGCGCATAATAAAACATCTGGAGAGTCCTGATTTTTAATTTCACTTCGACAATAAATAAAATACCTTGTTATTGAGGAAACAATTATTTTAGCATAAATTTGTACAATCAGTAATTTGGCTCATTGCTGCGTATCTGCTTGGCACACATCTCAAACTGTGATTTGACGCCAACCTGGCAAATCATTATTTATTATACTTTCCTTTTATCACCGCATGTTTATTAAAACATTACAACTTGAATAATGAGTCATGTAACGATGCCTTAACAATTTTTTTATGTTAGTAATTGAATAATAAAGGAGTATGGTGACCTTTTATGTTAACATTACGCTTGGCAATGGTTACAGATCTAAGTTAAATGTACTAAAAATGTTGACAAGGAAAAATTTAACAAAAACTTCTTTCCATATGCTAAAAATAGATTTTGTGGATTCATAGACCCAAAGATTACATTTTAGGCCTATTTGAATTAAGAATAATTGATTTGTTATTCACATAAACCCAGAACCTGTGCCACGGCTAGCATGGCCACACCAGCAAAGGATGGCACCGGGTCGCAGAATTCAGGACTCGCAGAGACTGCATCAGGAGGTACGATATTTTGCGCTGGCCCTCAATAAGGCTTAAGTATATGTGGGAATTACTTATTCAGAATTCTGATAAGCCTTAAGCATGTGCAAGAAATAGACATAAGTATAATAAACTAATACAATTCAGGCTTAATTGTCTCAGTGCGCAATAGAAATACGATAAAATTTAACAGAACAACTTGTCATTAATTGCCAAGCTCATGATGTATAGCCAAATATGTATAGTGAAGGATAGCTAAATTTGATAATGACAGACACAAAACAAGGTGAAATTTTCCAGTTAACGGATTTTGTAAAGAAAGGTGGAGAAGTGGTAATAAATAAAAGGTGATATAAAAGAAGTTTTTCATTGTGATGACAATGCTTCTCAATCATCAATCAATGAATGGCAAAATCTGTAGTGTGGTTCTAGATCCAGAAAATGCTGCTACCGATAGTGGAAAAAGTGACAGAGAAGTTACTGAAAACGAGAAAATTTCATTTGACAAGTTAGTCGGAATTCTTGAAACAACAGTTACAGGACTTCAATAATGCAACTCAACAGGAGATTATGTCTGTCTACAGAATTAAAGAGAAAGTATTAGCACAAAAATAAACGGAGCAATTTAAACAACTTACATTGAAAGAACTGTTTAATAGCTTTTTTTTGGGGGGGGGGTAAATTTTGATATCCTTTAGATCATAAATACTTCATTATTTCATATATCACAATTTAATATTTTTAATTTTATAATTTCTACAAGCCATCTTCCTAGATTTAAACAGATAATCTCATATCCGAAAAAATCCCAAAATCCGGAATTACCAAAGTCCCGACGAGTCCGGATTTCGGACTTTGTACTGTATAGCTTATAAAAAGAAAGCAACTTACCCAGATGTGTAAGAATGCATCATACATCCATATGGTTGCCAAATACTAAAGCCTTGAAATCGTCCATCACTGAGTAACCATTTACATGAATCAATTCCTAAAAAGATATTTAAAGGGATAAAAACTCCAATTTTGCATGAAAATGTTTGATTTATAAATAATGGTTTTAAAAGTAATAAAATTTCATGAATAAGTTACATACAATATGGGTGAAATAGAAATAATGCAGGATAATAGATAATAGACCAGGTGATTAGACTTATTACAATTCGACTCTTAATAAGGAATGCAAGTACTTGAGAATGACCAGGGGCATAGTAAGCATAACTGATGACCGGACCACAATACTATTTTAGCATCCCCCAAGGAAAACATATAGTAATATAACATATAGAATATACTCATTATAACAATATAATACAAATAACAATAAAATGCCATATCAATCTTAAAATACTCTGTAATGTATATGAATAGTCATTACCTAACTACACATCTACAAAATGCTAGTTTGTTTTTCGGGATGACAGGCTGAGGTTAGGCTTTAAATTTGAGACAAAAAAATCTAGTTAAAAGAATCAATACTAGAATGGATTTAGATATGTGTCTGTGTCAGTAGAAAATTCAGATATACACTCATCTAAAATTAGTTAAAAAGATATATATTTTACATATTTATATAACTGTTTTAAAAATATAGTTCATGCCAGACAAAGACTTAAGTTATGAAATTAAAATTCAGCGTATTTTGCTATAAAACTGTAGCTTCATTTCTGGTGTAATTTGTGGTAGAACTGCCCTCTGTTAATTACTAATTCTTCCAGCCCATTAACAGTAACAGTAAACACTTGTGCTCTGGCACTCTATCTTGTTTCAGATTTATGTTTAATAATTTTCTTTAATGCATTTTTTAATTCCCATTGTACTGCTGAACAAGAGAAAAAGAGCTATATGTTTTCAATTATTCCAAAACATGTTACAACTACTGGATCTTTCTTAACTACAGTAATATAGTTTTTAAACAATGAAAGAAGTTAATATATATTGTATACAAGTAGATATATTTATTAACAATATAATATTATAATACATTAATATAATTTATTACAGTCAAATACCGAAAATCCGCTGACCTGAAATCCGCCAACTCCTGAAATTCGCGTTGCCTCTCAAAAATATAAACATTCAGTTTATATAGGTTCCGGAAACCGCAACATTGAGTACGAAATATCGAAGAAAAAATACTTATTGAGTAAAAAAGTCATAATTACCAAATAATAATGAGTCATAACGGAAATACCAAATTATTGACATCGATAAAAGTTTTTTCCCGTCTAATCTGCATCAAGGTAAAAAAGCAGACGATTCACTCAACTCTTCTTCCAAGTTCCCAATTCATGTTATTGTATTTTCTGAGCTTTGTTATCTAACGAGATTATTTAGTGCCGCATTTTTTTTAATTCGGATATTTTGTGGATAAATTACGAATATTTTAAATTTCAACTATTTTTAATACAATTACAGATAAGAAACACACTCATGATTTTACTGCTTGCAACGTTGAAACACGTAAACACATTGCATTGACGGTAATGCAAAAAGTGCAAATTCTGCAAAAGATGGAGACAGGTGGTACTCCTTGGTTATAGCTAAGATCGTATGAGAATTGCGATACAATTGTGTACGATATACGGAAAAGAAAAGCTGTTGAAATTTTAGAGCAACAATGATTCTAAAACCAGAAATCTTTGCATGAGGCGAAATCGGCAAACCTCGATGCTGCGTATATATAATACAATGAATAATATAATCAATTTACATATGCAATAATAATTCCTGAAATCCACAAAATACTAAAATCCGCACAACCTCTGGTCACAAGCTTTGCGGATTTCTGGACTTCTACTGTACTATATATACCTTTGTTTTGCCTTTCATGAAGCAAATTTATCAGTTTCTTTATCACAGTCGATCATTTCAAATTTTTCTCTTTCCACATTTAAAAATGCTAAGTCATTAGGCAATCTTATCCCATCCTTGATCGTAGATATAACAAAATTAATTTTAATTTGCTGAACGAATGTTCACAGCTAGCAATTGATACTGACACATTAATGAGTATTTGAAGTGCGACTCTCAAGTTTGGAAAAACCTTTTCTCCATACGAGATTTTAAAGGTAAGATCTAATGAAGTTTTAGTTTCAATATCTTTTCTAGTGGGGAGTAACATCTTACACTCACATATTTTGAGACAGAGTTCTGCTCCAGTAAACCTGTATTATAAAATTCATCCGAATGTTTATAATTCCTTCAAAGATCAGTATCAGTATTATCCTTGTTTAATGAATTTTCAACATCCAGTAAATAGCCACATTTGGAATTAATATTAATTAATAAAATAGTCATGTAAATTGTAAACTTATTTCCTGCTACAGACAATCACAGACTCTTTTCATAGCGTGAGAAATTTCACTTTCTGCAGAAAGGCCAACATCTCTAGCCAATTCGGGCATTTTTCAGCATCTTTTAACATGGATTGTTATATCAATACCCCTTTTTTCACAAAGAAATTTTTCTATTACCTCTTCACAGATCTCGTCTCAAATTTCTGCAAATTCAGTCACTAATGATTCAAGATCATACAATAATTCTCTAAAATTCATTTCAGAATCTTGTAATATGAGTTGCACAGGATCAATTTGATGTGTATGCGTGATATTTATAATGACGAGGAAACTGATTTAAATCATATTGGAGTACATCGAGATGAAACACTACATTTAGTACAGAATTATAAGCCGAATAAAATAAAAATATCTGCCCTGAAGATGAGGATAGTGCCGACAGATCAACTTCCAGTTCATTGTGCGCCGCGACATATATTAAAACGACGTATGTAAATACATATTTTTAACAAGCTAATTTTACAATCCTCAACAGAACAGAAAAAAGGTTATTAGTACAATATTTTTATTAAAATTAACTTTTGCAAGTTAAATATTTACCACAGGGTTTTTCAATCACTGGAGTATCCCCCCCCCCCCGAAGAGGACAATGTGGTCAGTTTTACTGACCAACTTTCACTTAGCTGTTAAGTATTTCACTTTAGTTTATAAATATAAAAAACTACTTTTATTCAAGTTTCAGGATTAACCTATATTTTCTATATATATATATTTTTTTTTTTTTTTTTTTTTTTTGTTTAACTGATTAAACACTTTAGAAAATAATCTAAATAAATGTATGTAATAAGTAGAAATGTTAACATGTAAATGATGCAGAAAAATTGATTGCAATGCTGAAGATTTGATCCATAACGAACAGGAAACTTGGCAGTTGAGGCAGATTAAATATTCATTTTTATCTCAGTTGACATCTGTGGCCACAATTCACTTAGCACTCTAATCATGCCATCTCAAGCATTTTACATTTTTGATAGCTTTGTGGTAAGAAAAGAAGCAGTGTGGAAGCATTTTAGAGGTAGCAGAAACATAGTTGTCCAATATGGAAAATCACTAAGAGAAAAGTTTTGGTTCTCAAAATTTTGAGTTTGTGTTCCAAATTAACAAGTTACCAGTGTTACAGAAGTCAAATGATATAGATTAATCAAGAAATGACATAATCCAGAAATAGTTATTACATTTTTAGAATGGAAAAGGGCAATACTCAAGTTAAAATGAGAAATTAAAAGGCTATTACTAATTTAGGTACTTTTCCATTTTCCGCAAATCTTGCCAAGCAGACTTAATTGGTGACAACACACAGTATACACATAAAAAATGTTAGTTCTAAGAAATTTTTATTTTGCATAAAATTTTAATATTGTTAAATTTTGTAAAAGAAATAAATAAAGTCTGTCTAAAAAGAAGACATTAATTTAAGAATTTACCTAGATGCTTCATGGTACAACTCCTGATTCGCCGTTTCATTTCATGTGATCCCAAGTCTCCCTCTCACGTAAACTACGCTACAAATTCTAATTCTCTCATACTTATCTACTAAGTTCAAGTTCATATTATTTATAATACACTTTTAAAGCAAGAATTATTGAATTCGTACGAATAGCTTACTCAGAAGTTATGTAAAAACGCGTGTTTATTTGCTATGCATTTCATTAGAACTGATGAATTTAACCCTCGACTTTGCTTTTCCATTTTCGACTTTCGGATGAGCATGTGATTGCATCCTAATTGACTAATACTTGAATGGCCTTAGGGTAGAAAAAGAAAACTATTGGGTAAAATCTATGAAATTGTATGCCAGTATTGAAAGAAACAATCAATCTGATAAGAAATAGCTGCGACTTGTTTTGAAAATGAGGCGTAAAAGGTTACCAGCGAGGATATTTCGTTTGGCTTCGGTTGTACCATTTTTGGCGATTTTATCACTTGCTCTTGCAAAATGGAAAAGTACTCTAATTTAAGTTATAATTTTGATTCATATACTTTTTATCTTACATCTAGATGTAAGTAATATTTTAGTTTTGGCGACAGATGAAACCAACTATGTAGCAGTTGTTGTAGGGACAAAGATAATAGATAGTGTAATAGATGACTGGAAATGGTGAACATACTGCTGGCAACTTATTGATGCAATTTTTGAAGAAT